CCATGCAGGTCGACATTGACTTTACCACGGAACCCATTGGCACCGGCAAGGATGGCAGACCAGTCTTCCTGCGCGACATCTGGCCACCTCACTTCATTTCCTGTCCTCTCTTTTTGAATTTGCCCACATGCAGGTCGACATTGACTTTACCACCGAGCCAATCGGCACAGGCAAGGACGGCAAGCCCGTCTTCCTGCGCGACATCTGGCCGACGTCTGCTGAGGTGGCGGCGGTGGTCGAAAAGTCCGTGCTGCCCGAGTTCTTCCGGTCGACCTATGAGAGCATTACACGTGGCAACGACCTGTGGAACGGGCTGACCGCACCCGAAGGCGCGCTGTATGACTGGAGCCCGGCATCGACTTACATCCACGAGCCGCCGTTCTTCAAGGGCATCTCCAAGGACCCGCCTGGGGTGGCGCCCGTGGTGGACGCGTATTGCCTGCTGAATCTGGGAGACAGCATCACCACCGACCACATCTCGCCTGCAGGTGGGTTCCTGGATGTCTGGGTGTGTGGAACGGGCTGACGGCACCCGAGGGGGCCCTGTATGAGTGGAGCCCAGCATCGACTTACATCCACGAGCCGCCGTTCTTCAAGGGGATCTCAAAGGACCCCTCTGGGGTGGCGCCTGTGGTGGACGCGTATTGCCTGCTGAATCTGGGGGACAGCATTACCACCGACCACATTTCCCCTGCTGGTGGGTGGCTGGGTGCCTGTGTGTGTGGGCGTGTAGGCGTGTGGGTTTGTGGGTGTGTGGAACGGGCGGGCCACACCCGAGGGGGCCCTGTATGACTGGAGCCCGGCATCGACTTACATCCACGAGCCGCCGTTCTTCAAGGGCATCTCAAAGGACCCGCCTGGGGTGGCGCCCGTGGTGGACGCGTACTGCCTGCTGAATCTGGGGGACAGCATCACCACCGACCACATCTCTCCTGCTGGTGGGTGGCTGTCTGTGGGTTCGTGTGTGTGTGTGTGTGTGTGTGTGTGTGTGTGTGTGTGTGTGTGTGTGTTTGCGCGTGTGAGCATCACCGCCACTCTCCCTTCCGCGCTAAACCCCTGCCAAACCCCTGCCAAACCCCTGCCCAACCCCTGCCCAACCCCTGCCAAACCCCTGCTCAACCCCTGCCAAACCCCTGCCAAACCCCTGCTCAACCCCTGCCCAACCCCTGCCAAACCCCTGCTCAACCCCTGCCAAACCCCTGCCAAACCCCTGCCAAATCCCTTGCTATTGCTGCAGGAAGCATTCACAAGGACAGCGCTGCAGCACGGTACCTGATGGAAAGAGGCGTGGCGCGCAAGGACTGGAACTCGTACGGCAGCAGGCGGGGCAACGACGAGGTGATGGCGCGCCTAACCCCCACCACCCCTCTCTCTCCCCCACCACCTCTCTCCCTCCCCCACCACCCCTCTCCCTCCCCCACCACCCCTCTCCCTCCCCCACCACCCCTCTCCCTCCCCCACCACCCCTCTCTCTCCCCCACCACCCCTCTCTCTCCCCCACCACCCCTCTCTCTCCCCCACCACCCCTCTCCCTCCCCCACCACCCCTCTCCCTCCCCCACCACCCCTCTCCCTCCCCCACCACCCCTCTCCCTCCCCCACCACCCCTCTCTCTCCCCCACCACCCCTCTCCCTCCCCCACCACCCCTCTCCCTCCCCCACCACCCCTCTCCCTCCCCCACCACCCCTCTCCCTCCCCCACCACCCCTCTCCCTCCCCCACCACCCCTCTCCCTCCCCCACCACCCCTCTCCCTCCCCCACCACCCCTCTCCCTCCCCCACCACCCCTCTCCCTCCCCCACCACCCTCTCCCTCCCCCACCACCCCTCCCCCTGCCACTACCTCAGGGAGCATTCACAAGGACAGCGCAGCAGCAAGGTATCTCACGGAGCGGGGCGTAGCGAGGAAGGACTGGAACTCGTACGGCAGCAGGCGGGGCAACGACGAGGTGATGGCGCGCGGCACGTTTGCCAACATCCGAATTGTGAACAAGTTCATGCAGGGGGAGGTGGGCCCTCATACGGTCCACGTGCCCAGTGGCGAGAAGATGTTCATCTATGATGCTGCCATGGTGAGTGGACGAGGGTAATGGTGTCATGGTGAGGGGGAATGCAGAGTGGTAAAAGAGCTGGAGTTTTACGTGTGCCAACGACCGCACACCGTGCACGTGCCCAGTGGCGAGAAGATGTCCATCTATGATGCTGCCATGGTGAGTGGGGGATGGCAGTGGTGCCATTGTGAGGGGTTGGAGAGTGATATGATAGCAGGGGTCATGGCTGCCAGCACACCGTGCACGTGCCGGGCGGCGAGAAGATGTTCATCTATGATGCCGCCATGGTGATTCAACGAGGGCAGTGGGGCCATGGTAAGTGGGGGAGAGTGGCTTGCCATGGTGAGCTGTCTAGTGTCACTTAAAGCACTACTTCTGCTGCACTCACTCATGGTTGCCTTGCAGGGAGTATGGCAGTGGGCAGCTCGCGGGAGTGGTTAGAGTTATCCCTCTACCCCTCATCTCATCCTCCTCCCCCTCCACTCCCCTCCCAACCTCCCCTCCCCACCCCCCCCTCTCCACCAGCGTTACAAGGAGGCGGGAGCACCAACGGTCATCCTGGCAGGAGCAGAGTACGGGAGTGGCAGCTCGAGGGACTGGGCGGCCAAGGGGCCGTACCTGCAGGGCGTGAAGGCCGTCATCGCCAAGTCCTTCGAGCGCATCCACCGCAGCAACCTCGTTGGCATGGGCATCATTCCGCTCTGCTTCAAGCCCGGGCAGGACGCCGAGTCGCTCGGGCTGACCGGGTTCGAAAAGTTTTCGGTGCACCTGCCCCCGCTGAAGGAGATCAAGCCGGGGATGGACGTTGAGGTCACGTCTGACAACGGGAAGAAGTTCACAACCACCCTGCGATTCGACACCCAGGTGTGTTACCTACCTGTTAGCATTTTTGCACATACTCTGAAGTCAACTGGGATATGAAGCTGGGGAGGGACGTGGAGGTGACGACTGATAACGGCAAGAAGTTTACCACGACTCTGCGGTTCGACACCCAGGTGGGTGACTCATGTTAGCATGTTTGAGTCGACTCGAGCGTCAGCTAGGAGATCAAGCCGGGGATGGACGTGGAGGTCTCGACTGATATCAGCAAGAAAGAAGTTCACCACGACGCTGCGGTTTGACACCCAGGTGGGTCTCCTGATAACGTGTGGTTTTAATACATCACGGCGGTCGGTCCTCCGGTTTTCGCTCACAACAGTCACATCTCACCTGTCGTGTTGCCACCTCATCCAGTTGCTGCGAAGTATGCATGATGTGGTCGCTCGTTCTCGTCTCTTCTTCCAGCACCAATTCCGCCCCTTGTGTGTTGTGAATCACTTTCTATGTACTGTGCTTCTCCCCCTCCGCAGTGTGGCACTCTCTCTCCCTCAATTCTAATCCTCCTCGTTCCATCCCCCTCTTCCCCTCTTCCCCTCTCCCACTCTTCCCCTCTTGCACTCTTCCCCTTTCCCCTCATCCCTTCCACTTTCTGCCTCTTCTGCTCGTCCTGTTCACCATGCAGGTGGAGCTGACATACTTTGAGAACGGGGGCATTCTGCACTACGTGCTGCGAAGCCTAGCTAAGGACAGCTGAGAGGGAACGAAGAGGTTCGATTCAAGCCTGCTTTTGCAGGAAATGGGTTTGATAAAAGTTTCTTGACCTGTAGTTGTAGCTGTGGCTTCTGATATTGGAGTGCCGTTGATGGGTTGGAATCAGCTTGTGTTGCTGCTGTGACAATTGTCCATTGCAATAAGCCAGTACTAGTTGTTTGATTGCAAGATTTGAGAAGTTGCCAGTCTCAATTAAACCAATGGTAACAGGTGGTGATGGCATCAAATGATTAGCACTGTGAAACAGCAATTCAGGTCTGTGGCCACTGGCCAGGCTGGCAATGTTTGCATGAGAAGAAACAATCTGCTTGTGCTTTGTAGAGCCATGTAATTCAGTTCATATATTTGCACCTGCTGCTTGAAGCTGTTAATCAAATTGGAGAAAATATATATAACAGACGTTCAAATGCATGTTCTGAAATTTGATTACAAAATAATCTCATAACGGATTATTGCCCAGCCCTGACCACCTCCAGCCGTCAGGGGTTTCGCCAGACAAAGTGCGTAGTCGCGTCCAACATGTACAATTTGTGGGCTACCCCACACACCCAGCCTGTACTCCCCACACACACGAGAGGCTCGCAGAGTATGGGAGGGTACGCATCCAGCCTCTCACTCTCGCAGCTAGTGGCTTGTTCGTGGCGAACAATGGGATCGAGCCGCAACACAGGCTATCAGTGGCAGCTGTTTTCGCCATCGAGCATGCCAGTTTGGAATTGTTGTCTGGTTACCCCGTATCGTCTCGTTTCCAGTGTAGCAAACATTTATAATTGCGCGAACACTGTTTCGTGATGGGCCTGATGGTCGAAATCGATCCTGAATTCTGATTGGCCGGATCTTCGGCCCACCTGACAGCTCCCATCGGCCTCCCCGCCCATCATAGTAAATCGCATGGAAAACAGAATCTTCGGCCACACGCTGTGAAAGCTGCGTGAGGGTGTGCAAGGGCAAATCTGGCAGTGTGCCAGCATGGCGCCTGAGTCCAGGTGCTTTTTCCTCCAGCTCGCTCAACCAAAGCTGGTTTCACTGGAAATCTGGCGCCACTCTCTGGTTGCTCGAGCCGCAGGGAGCCCCTATGCTGGGAGGCGCAATTCAGCCCCACTTTCTTCGGCGACATGCAGGAAGCAAGCATTTCCGCGTCGCATCCTACAAATATCCCCACACCTCGAATTTGAATGTCATTCAACTTTTCGTTCTTTGACTTCGCAACAAGTTTTCATCGGCAGAAGTTCAAACATCACTCGACAATCGAATAAGGAGCCTTAAATCAAGCGCGCAGAAACACAACGGTCCAACATAACGTCTGAAGACAGCGAAACGCAATAGCATCTATGACTTCTCCAGACGAAGCGAATATCGGCATGGACTCTCCGGCCGGAGATATCGAAGCAGTCGTGGGGTCGTTCCTCAACCTCCCCTCCGTCCCCGCTCTCACACAGCCCACCGAAGCCAAAGCTGCGTCGGCCGAGCCAAACACTTCCGCTGGCGACGCGAACAGCGACGAGAGCGAAAGCAGCGACGATGGCGACGATAGCGAAGACGGCAACGACGCTGGCGACCAGATGGATCTGATGCTCGCGATGATGCGACTGCTGCAGAAGCAAATGCCGAAAAAGAAAAAGGCGGCGGGTGTTAGCAAGAGCAAGAGCAAAGTCAAGGCGAGTGAATCCGCGGCGCCGCTGCTGAACCGACGGAGATCCTCCATGGATCAGGAGCAACTGCTCACCGTCCTCTCTAAAGCGCTCTCCACTATGGATTCCCCCGACGACGAGCCCACGTCGACCCCCAAGCAGAAGCGCGCCAAGCTGAGCGCCGCTAACGCGAAGCCCGCCGGCCCGCGTCAAATGCCGCAGCTTGCGCGACCTAGCGCTGATGCTACCGCGCCCGCGCAGCAAAAGGCCAATGTGGGAGGGTGCGGCGCGGAGGGGGGCGAGGATACGATTCTGCATTGCTTCATGGATCAACTGCCGCAGATCGACGGTCACCTTGACGCGATGATCGCGGCGGCAGATGCGGCAGTTGACCCGCAGGAAGCGCAGCCTTCGCCGACGGAGCACGTCAGCAGCAGCGCGGGGGCGAGCGCTAGGGGCTGCTCCGCGCAGCAGAACAATGCGCGCGACGACGGCGCGGGTTCCGGCTCCAGGTTTCCCCAGCCCAACACGCCGCATTTCTCGGCGCACGAGCGGCAAACCGGGTCGTGGGACGCCGTCAGCAGCAGCAGCATGGATAGCTCCGCTGCCGCCGCCGCCGCCGCCGCCGCTGCAGCGCTCGCGGTTAACTCGCGGAAGCGCAAGTCGGGGGAGGACGAGGGGGCGTATGCGGGGAACGGGGGGAACGGTGAGCAGGCGGCGATCAGCAGCCGGTCGGCGTCAGAGGCGCGATGGAACGGAAACGGACAGATGCAGGAGTGCCGGCCGCTGTCGCTGCCACACGCGATCAGCAACGGCCCTGTGGTTGTGAGCAGGCAGCAGATGCAGCAATCCGCATGCAAGCCGCCCCTTCTCTCGCTCCCTGCCGCCTGCCTCGCCGCTCCTGGCTCTGCGCCTCTGCTCCGCGCGCCCGCCTCGAATGCGTCCGCCGCTTCCGCCCCTCCTCCGCCTGCCACCCCCCTCCGCATGCTCACCGTCCCTGCTGACGTGTCTCCCACCGCAGCGCCCATGGCGCGCCCGAACGTGATTGATAGGTTCGGCGGTGTGAGAGAAGATTTGTCGGCAGAGCAGCCCCTGGGGTTTCCGGTGAGCTTTGGGAGCAAGCGCATGGATGATGGTTACACTGACGGTGCTGGTAACCACACAGCTGGCAATGGAAGTCACGGTTACAACGACGGTGGTAACGGGTGCGACGATGGAGGCATGGGTTACGATGATATGGGCGGAGATGACATGGACGACTGGATGCCGCGCAGCCGCGGGCGCAAGGACCGGCAGGTGGCGGGCGGGCGCATCAAGGCGCGGAGCATGGCGGAGAGGCAGAGGCGGGAGAGGATCAGCGAGGGGTTGCAGAAGCTGCGAATGGCGGTGCGTGGCCACGGGGACACGGCCACCATGCTGGACAATGCTGTCGCATACGTGCAGGCGCTGCAGAGGCGAGTGACATCGCTCGAGACAAACATGCTGCTGCACCAGGCGTCCTGTGGGGGTCTTGGTCAGGCTGGGGGCGCACTGGGCGGTGGCAATGGATCCAACTCCAATAACAGGGGCCGCCATGCTAATGGCTTCATCAACCCCTCCCAGTTTGGTTCCCTTTTTGGCTTGGACGTCTGAGCCCAAGGTTTACTAAAACAAATAAATGGATGCCCTGGGTATCAGGGCTACCTACTTGGAATAAAGTACACCGTACCTTGGTGTTATTTTGATTTACTAACTTATATTACTAGAATTTCAAATAATTGTGGCTCTATATGGATGTACGCACCTCATTGTCCCACTACAACAAGCCATGCAGTATGCACTTGCGCAAGATTTACATTGTGCGTGTGAGGTATGTGGTAATTTGACAGAGATGAGTATGTGAAGGAGAGTCTGAGATATACGGTAACATTACCATACCATGCAGAATATCTCAATCTTTTCTGTGTCAATTGAATGAAGGGAATTGCGTGTTCATAACCAGTTGGTTAATTTCAATAGAAATTCCAATAAAAACAGGTACTATCTTCACAGCGAAGAACCTTAACTCGGTAGCATGATGCCGCACATGTGTAATTTCTCATCAGGTGAACACCATGTAAGGTTTCCAGTTAGGGAAGATCGGTATGAATGCATTTTTCTCTATTTAAAATTTAGGAACACGCAAAAATTCATTCATTTCTGGGCCAGCATTACGGAATGAACACCTAGAATCAAAAGTGGGGTATGTAATCACAGTGTGGTCTTCTCCTTGCCGTATTCTGAACTCCTACCTCAATCTAATTGCAGAACTTCCTATACTGGGTGCCACAAGTTTCCAGGTTCGACTGGAAAGAAATGTTCAGGTGTTTTGCCTGGTTGTAGGGTTCCAGCTTTCAGGCAAAAGTATGGCAGTGGCTGGAATTGCATTTTTGCAAGCAATGGGGATCCGATTTGCCTGCTCCAATTCGCAATGGGTGTCAGAATCATGGATGCAGGCACATTTGCGGCTTTCGTTCAAAACACCTGGGTCCTGGCACGAGGTGGCCATCGGCTGGCTTTGATTTTGCCAGGAAAAGAACGGACCAGCGTTCCGCAATCGTAATTAGGGGCACACAAAAACCAATCGCGACTTGGTTACTGTTGATCAGTCTCGGCAGGCTACAGTATTAACAAGATTCTCCCCCACGAGGCCAACGAGGCGAATCATGCGCATACGGATTTGATGCATCACATGACAGCAACTGGTGGACAGACTGACATGATGTCAGCGTCAGTTCAGGTCAGGTGGTTCGCAAACTGGCGTGACAAACCACCCAGCTTGCGAAGCTTGCGTCCAAGCGAAAGCAGGGTCGTAACCACTCGACTTCGCCACAAGACCCGCTTGACAGCCCCTGCGGGTCTGCTGGGGGGACTTGGCACAGCCTTGCAGGAACTTTTGGAGGTTTTCGCTGACTTTCGCAGCCAGCGGCAAGCTCGGCAGGCGAAACTCGAGGGGGCAACAGGCTGTGCCTGCGACCATCAATGCCCGCCGCCAAGCCTCAGAGCACAGCACGGCGAACGAGACTCCCATCCGCGTTCTCCAGCCGGGGACATCCATAGACCCTTTTGCTTGCAATGGCTTCCTATAAATTGCGTGCCTGCCAACTCCAGTCTCATACATTCAGCAGCACTCAGCAGGCACATTCTCGCTTACGCGGTTCTCCTTCGACACCTCCCACCCACCATCACCAATCGCTCTGATCAACCGCGTTCAAACACAGTTAAAAAATCCCGACAATGGCACTCGCAGAAATTGATCAGTCGCCTTTCGAGCACCTGTTCGACTTAGAAAGCATGCCCGCGTGCCCTGACAATGGAGACATAGACGCGGCAGTCGATTCGTTTCTCAATCTCCCTGCCGCAGCCTTTCCGTGGACCCCCAGCGACAACAACGCCGGGGCCCTCAAACCCGAGGCTCCAGTAGCCGCGAATCTTGGTGGTAAGCCCGCCGGGAAAAGCGGCGGGAAGAGCGGAAAAGCGAAGGCGAAAAAGGCGGCGCAGCGTGAGACGCAGAAGCAGCTGCTCGCGGCCATCATGGAGGCCCTCGCCGACTCAGACGACACCGACGAGCCGTCGTCGCCAGAATCCCCCGCTGCCCCTTCCCCCGCCTCAGCAAAGCGCGCCAAGCAGGCTCCCGGCGACGTCGTGTCGTCCCGCCGGTTACCGCAATTGGACAGTCTAAGCAATAGCAGCCCCGCGAGCAGTGGTAACCCGTCGTCCGCGCTTCTCGATTCCTTCCTCGGTCAGCTGCCGCAAGTGGATATGCACCTCGATGCGATCATCGCCGCACTTGACGGGCCGGCAGCCGACGCGGCGCAGCCGGCGGCGGGTCAGACGGGGAGCAGCAGTGCAGCAGTGGCGCAGCCGCGGGCTCGCAATAACGAAGCAGAGAGGGTGCTTATGCGCAGCAGCAGCAGCAGCAGTGTGGACAGCTCCGTCGCGGAAGCCGCCGCTGCCGCCGCCGCCGCGCTAGCCGCAGGATCGCGGAAGCGCAAGGCATCGGAGAGCGAGGTGGTTTCCCCCGCTGCGGCCGTTGCCCCTAGCGCAGACGTGGGCAGTAACGAGGCGGAGGTTTCCCGCCAAATGCGCCGCGCGCTTGGCGCTGCCATCCTCCGCAGCGAGCCGTGCCCCGCGGCCGCTGCCTTTCCCACTCCCGCGCCTCCTCCGGCCGCGCTGCCAGTGGGTAGTCACGCCAACCCCGTTGGCAGGACCCTCGCCCATCACGGACCGCTGCAAATGCCCATTCGCCTGCCCGCCGCTCCTTCCGCCGCGCCTTCGCCGCTAGCTTTCCCCGCGCCTGAAGCAGCAGCTTGCATGAACAATGACAACTCAGATGATGACATGGCGGGCTTTGGCGGAAGCCCAGCGTGCGGAGGCGCCAACGGAGCGGCGGATGACGCGGATGATTGGATGCCGCGCAGCCGCGGGCGCAAGGACAGGCAGGTTGCGGGCGGGCGCATTAAGGCGCGGAGCATGGCGGAGAGGCAGAGGCGGGAGAGGATCAGCGAGGGGCTGCAGAAGCTGCGGATGGTAGTGCGCGGCCATGGGGACACGGCCACCATGCTTGATAATGCTGTCGCGTATGTGGACGCGTTGCAGCGCCGAGTGAGCTCATTGGAGACCACTCTGCTGCTGCACAAGGCGTCGTGCAAACACCCTGGGCAGACTGATTGCGCCTTGGCCTCACCTGGAGAATCTTCTGAGCTGTTGTAAGCTATAATTTTCAGGTTGATCTCGGATAGAAGTTTATCAATAGATGACTAACGAATAAAGCTGGATACGTTTCCGTGTGTCATAGTGGTTGTATCTTCAATGTATGATAATGTATCTGGTTATGTGTGAATGTGATCCTTCAACCGTAGACCTCGGGACAGAGCCAAGGGTATGACAAGTTCGGATCACGGGTCGCGTGAGAAGCCACGGACGGAAGGTAAACAACACGAGAACTGGAACCTACTGATCCGTGCCAGATCTTCGTCATCCTTCAGCTGTTTGAAAGAGCTGGCATAAAACCCTTTCCGAACCCAAAGAGCAAGGAAGGAGGTGTTTCTTCAGCCATAATCTAGGTTACGAAACCCAGGCGCCAAAAAGATCCGCGAAAACGGTTCGCGAGGATGAGGCTGAAAGAACTCGTGTACATCAGTCCTCGTCAACTAATCACCGAAGGGGATCGCGGGTAACCCTTGATTCGCCTGAAAGCTGTCGCCGCGCGCTCGGGCCCTTTGTGGTTCCCCCATCCCGAATTCCCCACAATTCAGCGCAAGAGCTTTGATGCGCAGAAGAACCTGCGGATAAGCCTACGTGTATTGCCATACTCCAGGTGACAGGTGACTGGCCATGTCGCTCAACTCAGGTCGAAAATCTCTGGTCGTTTCTGTAGCTTCAGGTTCACGGGCTGGAAGCAAATACTCATGATTGATATTTCAGTCGCACAATTTGACGCAAAATTCAGCTTCGTTCCAAACGATATTTTCTTTACCTTCCGCGTAAGGTGCCCGTTCTCCAATGTACGGCACTGTATCACCCGTGGAGTGTGCTGCAGTGATTGTCTCACAAGCCCTTCTTTCCCAGCCTCACGCTCTTCCTGCCTCGGCGAAAAGCCAATCTTCGTCGCAGCCTCTATCGCATCCAACCACACACTGCCACGCATGCATCAGATCCACTGCCCCGGCAAAAGTACATATGGATTGCGCGTCGCCCGACCGACCTTCCCCCCTGAGTCCTCCTGAGTCCTCCTGACGCTGAAGCAATGCATAGAACCCTGCAATGCAACCCACGAAGTGAGAGATTCTCGCCCACAACAAACCAAATGAGGGACATTCCTGCACGCATTTATACAGCAGCTCCAAAGCGGTGAGTTACTCTTTAATCAGCCCCTCAAGTCACACCACCCAGCAACTTCAATCACAGCCTCACTCCACAATCTCCCGTGCGTCCGTGCCTCTTGCAGACAAATGCTCGTCGCGTGCAGCTGAGTTGGCCTCTTTCGCCAATCACTATGGCATCAGCACCGCATTTGATACTTCCCGACAACACTGACGAATTCGTCCGCGCTGCACACGCCGCAAATGCCGCATTGCCGTTTGCCCCGAAGCTCGACAGCATGGATGGCGCTGTCGAGGATGGCGACATTCACGCCGCGATCAACTCGTTTCTTGCTATTCCCAACACCTTCTGGGACTCATCGCTTCCTCCTTTTCTGGCGCAAGAGCCTTCGCCAACCAATGAATGCGCAGAGGCCGCGGGAGACGCGCTCAGAGTAAAGGCGGACGAAAGTGGAAGCAAGAGGCGTAGCGACGCGGCTGCTAGCGGTCTAACGAATGATAACGCGGCTTGCATTGGCGACGCGAAAGATGTGAATGCGACGACGATGTCGCAAATTGCGGACGACATAAAGCGAGAGGCCTCGGAGCTGCTGCGACGGAACAACGCCGACTCTGAGTCGCTCAAGCGTCGCGCGCTCGAGCGGCCTCCGCCGTGCGGCGGCAGCAACGCGAAGAAGCAGAAGCTGCAGCAGCAGCAGCGGCACAAGGCGCAGCAGAACGCCAAGATCCTGTCGGCGCTGCTGACGGCGCTCGCGTCGCTCGACGAGTGCTCCTCCGAGGGCTCCGCGGAAGACGAATCCGCGCCCAACACGCCGTCCCCCAAACGGCGTAAGGCGACTGGCGGAAAGGCCGCCTTGGCGGCCACCGCTGACGCGCACGGCGGGAGCGGCAATGCGGCGGAGTCAGAGAGGCGACCGTCGTCGTCCGAGGCTCCGCGTGTGAGTGCGCAGTCGGCGCAGAACGGCAGTGCGAACGAGGCCAGCGCGGCGTCACACGGCAAGATCTCCGCGAGGGCGGGACGCGCAGCGAGGAGCAAGGTAGCATCGCTACCGGGGCTCACCTGGCAAGAAGGAGAGAGAAATTCCGTTCAAGGCTTGGCGCAAGGGGCGATGCGAGCGGCGACACACGGAGAAGGAAGGAAGGATACGCGCGTTGAGGTATTGGGCGACGCATGGGGCGCCAAAGCCGAGGTCCCGAACACCCCAGGGATTCCACAACGAGTTGGCGCGGGTAGGAGCCTTCTGGACACGTTTCTTGCTGATCTGCCCGAGATTGACGGGCATCTGGACGCTGTTATGACCTCGCTGTGCTCTGAGCCTGCTACGACTGGGTGCACAGGAGGTGCTTCGAAGGACAATGCTGCTTGCATTGGTGTGGATGGACCGGAATCTGCTTCAGCGAAGGCGCTCTCACAGCCTTCCTCCCACCTCTCTCCGCCCAAGACTCCCGTGCTAAGCCACGCACCAGGGTTTGCACATGCGCACAGGAAGAGTCTGCCTGTTGATGAGGCGTGCAATAACGAGGATGAATGCGACGATGAGGATGACAGGCTGAGCACCAGCAGCATTGATAGCGAGGATGCTGCGGCTGCAGCTGCGGCGGCGACAGCTCTTGCCATGCGAACGCGGACAAGAGTGGCGGAGGAGAATCATGCGCCCGAACCGAAAGCAGGTGCTCTGAATCTGGACAATGTGGCTCAGATGAAGCGCGGGGCAGGGCAGCGACCTCCTCCTCTGACGCTCCCTGGTGCTCTAGAACCTGTTGGTAATGGTTCCCCATCGTCTCTCGGCAGTCCGTTTAACCAAATAAAAGCAAGCACACCTGGTAACGGAGATTCGCCATGTGCCATGCCTCTTGGAATTGTGACACCATTCCTCTCTCCGAGGTATGGTGCTGTGGGGGGGAATGATGTGGACGACTGGATGCCGCGCAGCCGCGGGCGCAAGGACCGGCAGGTGGCGGGCGGGCGCATCAAGGCGCGGAGCATGGCAGAGAGGCAGAGGCGGGAGAGGATCAGCGAGGGGCTGCAGAAGCTGCGCATGGTGGTGCGCGGCCATGGGGATACGGCCACGATGCTTGATAATGCTGTTGTGTATGTGCAGGCGCTGCAGAGGAGAGTGACAACGCTTGAAACAAACATGCTGCTGCACCAGGCATCGTGCAAGATGAAGGAAGATGGGGTTGGCCTTGCCAGTGAGCGAGAAGGATCTAACCTGGAATAAAGCTGATGTTCAAGGGGAGTGGAAATAAGTGATGTGAATAAATGCTGGTTTGTTTGTTGTAACTTATAAATGTCAACATGAATTGTCTTTTCAATGCAAAGATTTGGAACCTGAATTGTCGAAGTCAATTCAATGACGCGTTTCGCTGTGATGTTTCTTCTGTCTTGCCAGCGGTCCCCAATCTCGAGATGAATAGAGTGGACGGATAAAATTGTGTTTTGGGGGAAAAAAACACGCATTCTGTACCATATCGCTCGGTGAAAATCCATTCCGTGGCGCGACAGAAATCCAGTTTCAACCATTGCCAGCCTTCAGTGTCATCAAGGCGGACTGATCCTATCAGCGGGATTCCTTGAGCCCTTTCCGAGCCCAGTTATGCCTAGTTTTATCTGCAATGATGTAATATTGTTGACCACTGATTAAACGTTTCGTATCAGGACCCCTGATTAACTCAGAGCCCAGAATCGAGAGTTAATTCGATGTCAGCGCGTCCCACTATTTCCAACATCGCTCGTTCACCCGCGGTCTCGAATGCTATTCCCAATGCCTCCGCTATTCCCCCATCCGCTGCGACTCTCCCATCCGCTGCGACTCCGCCACCCGCCGCGACTCCGTCACCCGCTGCGACTCCGCCACCCGCTGCGACTCCGCCACCCGCCGCGAATCCACCGTCTAAGGCGACTCCTCCGGGAGCCACCGTGATCGATCTCACTCGCACGTCGTCGTCGCGTCTCGTTGCACGCGTGTCGCACCTGCATACGATGCTGCGGAAGGCTGTCGCATGGCAGGCGCAGCAGCAGCAGGTTCTGCTTCGGAAGCAAAGCCAGCAGGATCCGACAGCAGCGGCAGATGCGACAGCAGCAGCGGCTGCGGCGACAGAGTTATGGAAGTCGCCAGGCGGTCGAGAGGCAGCGAGCACTCTAAGCAAGACGCTGCTAGACGTGTCCAGGTGAATATGACGAGTAGGTAGGGCTCACGCGAATAGGCGATACGTACAGGGATGGCCGCGTTCCCAGTCATCCCTCCCATCGCATCTACTCCTCTCACTTGTTCATACCATCTGCTTCCCCCAGGACCCTGGACGAGGCACTTGCGCAGAGCAGCGGCTGGCAAGAGAGCAGCGGCTGACAGCCCTCCCATGCAACCCTCGGCCATTTCCTGCATCATGTCCGTGTGTCCCCCGCCGCTTTTCTGCTCCCCCAGGACCCTGGACGTGGCACTGGCCACAGAGCAGCGGCTGGAGGGCAAGGAGGGCGACCTGATAGATGCAGTGAAGATGGTGAGTGGGTGCTGAGAAGATGGTGACTTGCTTCTCGTGCACTCATTGTCACAACGGTGTCAAAACGGACGTTGATATTCGCGTTTCATGCCATGCCATGCCATGCCATGCCATGCCATGCAGAGAGATGATCAATATCTCAGTCGTTGCATGAGTTTTCTTCAAAAAGCGCCTCATACATGCCCACACGAGCAGTGCCCTACGTACAAACTTCACTCTGCAACAGCCACTTCGTGAATGTCACTAATGCCATCACAGATTACCAAAGTCAAAACCCCTTCCTTCCTCCACTCCGCCGCAGGCCTGTCTCCTCAACTCTGTCCCATCTCTTCGCCCCGCTGTTACCGTCCTGCTCCTCTCTGTCAAGGTAAGCACTGTCCCTCCTGTCTCTTTGCCAAGGTAGCCTTCCCTATCTCCTCAAGTCTGTCCCCGCTCTTTGCCCCGCTGTCACCGTTCTGCTCCTCTCTGTCAAGGTAATGTCCCCCTTTGCACTCTTGTCCTCCACTCCTAGCCCTCCTGACCCTTCCTGTCCGTCCTGCCTCTCTGTTCCCAGTGCCATTCCCCTTCCCTCGCTTGCACCCATTCTCCCACTCTCCCTCTCCTCCACTCTTCACAACCTCCTAACCACCCTCCTCATGCTCCACTTTTCCTCTACCTCTCCACTCACCCCATCCATTCCTGCAAGCTCCACTCCACCTGCCCCACAAGTATCGACATCCCACAACATTCCGTTCCATCCTCCTCCTCCTCCTCCATCCTTTCACGCTTCTTCCCCCACCGCCCCATCTCTCGTTTCCCCCTTGTCTGCCATCACGCTCCATCTCCATTCATGCCGGGCAGCAGTAGAATCTGGGTGGTTTTGATAATTCTCAAAAGCGCTTCCCCTCCCACCGCCCCATCTCTCCTCTCCCACGTGCATCCCCACTCCATCCGTGCCAGGCAGCAACGGCTGCTGGGTGGTTCTCAGAAGACCAGCAAACAAGCATTCGAGGTTTCTGTGATATTGTAAGTTCCTAGACCCCACCCATTCATCGTACACGCCAGTGACTAAGGCAGTACACATAATATTTATACTCGCTATAGCCTGCAAGCCCTAGAAGCTATTGGTGTACGTCCCATACCCTAACCTGCAGGCACTGGGATGGGAGGGGGATTTGATTTTCTTCTTTGGCAGGCACCAAAAGAATCGTCTCACACTCCCATTCGTCCCCCTCCAGGCTCTGAAGCCTTTCTCCTCCTCTCTCGCCCCTCGCCCCGCCTCTCTCTCCGGTTGGCTGGACGAAGCTCCAGGTCAGCCCCATGCTGACGTGGCAGCCGAGGAGCTGAGGGCGCTTAGCAGGGAGGTCGATCTGGGGGAGGTGATGCATACTGTGGCAGGGTGGGCGGAGGAGGAGGGGAGGGAGAATGGGGAGAGAGGGGAAAGGGGAAGACAAAGGGAGACGTTAGGGAATGCACAGGAGAGTGAAGGAGGTGGTCAGGGGAGAGGGCAAGGGGGAACGGGAAGAGGGGGAGAAGGGAGGGCAGAGGAAAATTTAGGTGCAGCGGAGGGTGTCGTTGGTGGTGGGAAGGGGAGTGCAAGCGTGGGTGGTGCGCTGCCGCTCGCCACTGACCTTCTGCTGGAGCTTGTTGTGAAGCGGTGCGTGCACTGTGCTTGCATATAACTGCCTTGTACCCCACGTAGTACCTACTACCCGCCCTGCCGCTCGCCACTGACCTTCTGCTGGAGCTTGTTGTGAAGCGGTGTGTGCACTGTGCTTGCATATAACTGCCTTGTACCCCACGTAGTACCTACTACCTGCCCTGCCGCTCTCCACCGACCTTCTGCTTGAGCTTGTTGTGAAGCGGTGGGTATGTTGTGCTTGTTTGTAACTGTCTAGACCTTAGCCTAGTCCCTTCCTAGGAAGCTTGTTGTCAAGTGGTGAGTGCTTGCATGTACCTTCCTAGTACCTTCCTAGCACCTCCCTAGTACCTTCCTAGCACCTCCCTAGCACCTCCCTAGTACCTCCCTAGCACCTTTCTTTCCCGAGTACCTTCCTAATACCTACCCATCCCTGTGTTATGTGCATGGTTGAGTGTGTCTCAAGTGCGTGCATGTATGTGTGTGAGTGTGTCTGTATGCTATGTGTGTGCATGAGTGTGTGTATGCGTGTCATGTGTGTGCATGAGTGTGTGCATGCGTGTCACGTGTGTGCATGAGTGTGTGTATGCGTGTCATGTGTGTGCATGAGTGTGTGTATGCGTGTCATGTGTGTGCATGTATGTGAGCGCCTGCAGATTCCTCCCTACACTGAAGTTAGTAGAAGTCTGCACAGCACTCACAGTACAAGTGAGCGCCTCTGCCCACCTTCGACGATATGTGTTCGGTACCTTCACTTTCACCCCTTCTTTCTTTCCCCCCTTCCCCCCTCCTATCCCCATTTACCCCGCCTTAACCACCCAACACATGCCTGCCTGCCCCTTGCTCGACTTCCTCATTCATATCACCCCCTCTCCCCCCTACAACCCCGCCCATGCTCTCGCCCACACCGTCCTCTTCGCCCACCCTCTCTATCCCCCTAACCCCCAAATGCCTGCCTATCTCCTTTCTTCCATCCCCACCACCCTTGCCCTCCATGACCCTTCCACGTCAGCCTGTCTTCCGTTCTCTCTCTCACTCACACCTTCCTCTTCGCCCAACCACTCTCACTCACGACCTCCTCGTCTCCCACCCACCTTCTTCGTCTCCCCAATGCATGCCTGCCTCCCCCTCTCCCTTCCATCTCTCCCACCCACCCCCTCCACATCCCCCTCCCACCAGCCAGGTTTCCATGTTCTCACTCACGACTTCCTCGTCTCGCACCATCCCAAGCCTCCTTCTTCCTGAATGCATGCCTGTCCCCCCCTCTCCCTTCCATTTCTCCCACCCACCCCCTTCACCTCCCCCTCCTGCCAACCAGGCTTCCATGTTCTCACTCACGACTTCCTCTTCTCGCACCATCCCAAGCCAACTCCTGTGACTCCACTCCCCGTTCCACTCCCCATTCCACTCCCCATTCCACTCCCCAAACCCACCCCCCCACCCGTCCCCCACCAGGCAGGCTTCCATGTTCTCACCCATGACTTCCTCGTCTCACACCATCCCAAGCCGCAGCAGAAACTGGTCAGATTCAATCAACCTTTCCCCTTAAAGCAATGCACTAGTGCATCATTATCGTATGAGGTAACACGCTCACCCATCCACCTCCATCCTACCAATCTCATCAAAGCGACCCATCCATGCATGCATCCACCCTTCCTCCCATACCACCCACCCCAAACATATCTCCCATCCCTTCTAAATCTCTCCCATCCTTCCAATCTCACCCATCCATGCCACCCACCCTCCCATCCCCCATCCTACTACCCGTGCATCCCACCAGCGTTTCTTCTCCATCCAAACTGACTTTGTCAACTCTGCTGCCAACCGTTCATCCTCGCATCACACCCACCCATTCACCCACGCACCCTCCCACCCGTGCATCCCACCAGCGTTTCTTTTCCATCCGAGCCGACTTTGTCAACTCTGCTGTCACCCTCGTCTCGCCACCTCAAGCCAGGTCAGTAGCGTATGCGATGTGAGCAGCCTATGCCATGCCATGCCATGGCTTGGTTTCGGGACATTCTCGCGCTGAGTATCATGCCTTGTCTCCCAGCACACAGGCAGTTCAGAATTCTGTGCCCTATCATACCCTTTTCATGCTTGGGCTGCTCTCGCTGTATGGTGATGTGATGCTGATGGCATGATGCTTGCGTGCATGCACTATGGCGTGCTGTGCATGTTCGTGTGATGCATCTTTCGTGCATGACGGCATGGCATGGTATGGCGTCGTGAGCAGCATACTGCTGAACGCCAAGGAGGTGCCCAACAGAACAGCCATCGACCAGGTAATGTGCCGACAGCCGGACTCGATCCCTCAACCACATTAGGAGCACCACTTCCAAATTCTCAGCAGCCACATCCAATTTTACCTTGTTCAAGTCTGCTTACCTGTCACCTTCGCCTTCTTTCCCACCTCTCCGACCCCTCCCTTTCTCCCACATCACCATCATTCCGAGGCTTGTTGCTGCGCCTTCTCTTGCTCCCCACCCTTCCCCGATACCCCCTCCCCTGTGCCACCTTCTATCTTTCAACATCTGTACCACGCACGGGACCAAACCCCTCTTGTTCCCCTCCCCTCTTATCGCAACCTTCCTCCAACCCAACCAACCTCTGTTTCCTGACCTACCGCCTGGCCTCTCTGCAACCTCCCTTGGCAGGATCGCTCCCCGCTGGTACCATCTGACGTCATCAAGCTTCTGAGGCTCGGTGTGAACATCTTGAACCTCATTGGCCGCCTCTCAGGTACGGCATGAAAAGCTCGGCTTTTCTTGAACAGTCCTTTTTTATTGCTGCAGCAAAACGTACATTCCACGCTCGTTTTCACCCCTTCCCCATTGCTCTCCTCCCACTCATTCCTGCTGTTGCCTCCACTCACTATCCTTCTCCGTCCTCTCTCCCTCCCATCCCTCCCCTCTTTCCCCTCTCTCCCGTCCTTCCCCTCCAGTGCCCTACAAGCTTATGGTGGCAGTGATGGCAGCATCCACCCCCTTGCTGACTTTTGCGTCCCCTCATAAGTCCCCTCACCCCCTCTCCCCCTCTCTCCCCCTCTCTCCCCCTCTCCCCCTCTCTCCCCCTCTCTCCCCCCCTCTCCCCTCCTCCCCCCCCCAGTGCCCTACATTTTTGTGGTGGCTGTGATGGCACCCACCCCCCTGCTCCCACCCTCCATGCTCAAGCCCCACCCCTCTCAACTCAAGCCAACTCCTCCCCACCCCACTCAATCGTCCCATACTGCTCAAGCCACTGGAACCAGCGTCGCACCGGCAACCACCGCCAGCAGCCTTTCTACCCTCTCGTCCACAACCCCCTCTGGAGAACTCTCGAATGGTTTGACAGCCAAGGGGCAGGGAAGCGGTGGGAGAGAGCTAAGAGAGCAGCACGGGCAACAGGCGGGGCAGGAGGAGGAGGAGGAGCAGGAGGAGTTGCTGGAGGGACCAGTTCGAGTGTCGCTCTTGTGTCCAATCAGGTGACGCCATGTGTACCATCAAGTGATGTGATGTACGTACGCATGAAGTTGCTTTGGTGAAAGATGCCTGGGTAAATCACGTGCCATCTGACCTTGCTCAATCCTTCGTATTCCAACCCTTCCTATCCCAACCACTCCCATTCCGACCGCTGTTGCCTTGCCTGACCTACCGCCTCCCCCTTTTTCAACCTGCAGCTGGTCCCGCATGAAAGTACCCGTGAGGGACCGGGCGTGCTCCCACCCTCAGGTGAGATCCCACGTGGACATTCAGGTGTTTTTACAGGTTAGCTGAACCATCCAGGGTTTAGTTTCTGCTCCGTTACTCCTCATATAGCAGCCATGGCTGAACGAACCCCATCACACAGAGCCTGCATCCCTGCATTGTGCTTTCAGCTTGACTAGCAGCTTGTGAGTCGACTAGGAACTATCCTCCTTCGAGCGATTGTGACTGATACAATGGGATCACACATGTGGAATGCAATGCACGTAGAATGTGTATGTGAAACATGATTTTATGTGAGGATGCACCCCCTCACGGAGTCCCCGCCCTGGGTCAGTCTCCCACTTAGTGCTTGAGATTTTTATCAATCCAGCAGTTGTGACTAATATCGGTTTGTATGCCTTGTTCCCTCCATCCCCTTTATACAGTGCTGCGACTACAGCTGTGTGATGGCAATCAACGAGCGCAAGCCTATGTGGAAATGTCCCACGTGCGGTGCTGACATCAGCGCCACGTCACTCTGTATCGACAATCGTATGGTGCAGGTAAATTCTCTCTCTTCACATGACACGTGGCTTCCAAATCTCAGTGCATGTGTGGGCATCAAAACATGCCATGTGAGCATGCATGCATGCATCGTGCTGGGTACATCGTACCACTGAGCCTTGTGTTGGTAACAACATGCACAGCATCGCATCAGTCACATTGCACGGTCAGCATGCATAGCGTGCTGCTCTTGACACATTGCAACCGAAACTGGAAGTAATTAAAATTTGCGCTCTATTTATTGCCTGCTGCTGCTGCTCTTTGAGGTACTTTATTGCCTCAATTTAAACCCAAACAGTCTGAACCTTCTTACCCTGCTCGCCCTCCCCCCAACCAGGTACTATCCAAGACCACAGGCAGCACCAACCACACTAATATGCTGCTCGACATAGCTCCGGACAGCTTCCTATCACAGCCTGCACGCCCCTCCACAAACAACTGTTTCACTCACTCTCAAATATAAACTCTCCTCCCCTCCCACCAACCAGGTGCTATCAGAGACAACAGGTAGCACCAACCACACCGATGTGTTGCTCTTCCCAGATGGTTCCTGGCAGCTTCTACCCCAGGGAGTAGGCTTCTCGCCCTCCCCAGCCTCCCCTCCCTCCAAGCGACGCCGACTCGATGCTGCTGCACCTAACGCCCTGCTCCCATTGCCCGTTGCTGCTGCACCTACTGCCCTGCTCCCATCACCCGCTGATGCTGCTACTGTGCCACCAGCTGCTGATGCAACACCAACATCTGCTGATGCAGTGTCAACAGGTGCAGCAGCAAGGGAAATGGAGGGATCAGCGTCTGGGGAGGACCAACGAGAAGGCATTATCGACCTGACAGATGCTGCTGATGATGGCGTGGCTGGGGGTACCTGGGGGGTAGAGGGTGATGTGAAGCCATGGGTGGGTATCGGACAGGGTCAGGCACCTCATGTGGGAGAGACAGCAGGCAGGGCAACTCAGCTTATTTCCCCACCCCCATCCCACATGCTGCCTAATATGCCAGGACCTGCTGCTGCTGTCTTCCATGCTGCTTTCGCTGCTCCTATTGCTGCTGCTGCTGTATCTCCTGCTGCCCCTGCCCGTGGTTCAACCCATGGCTGTGCACCTGGCAACCCAGTCGCCCCTTCCCCTTCACTTGCTCTGTCTGCTCCATGCAACTCACATGCGCCTCCTCGTGTGGCTGCCCAAACTGCCATCCACTCACTGGCTATTCCCGCACGCCCTGCTGCTGTCATGCCGCCGGCTCCTGCTGCCACACCCCCGCCTCCTGCTGCAGCGCTCCCTGCTGATTCCACAACACCCGCTGCTGTTGGTACCGCACCCGCCCAGTCTGCTGCCGCACCAGTTACCGGACCTGCATCTGTGAGCTTGCAGCAAGCGCGCACCCATGCACCTTCCCATCAGGCCCATCCTCCTGTGCCCGGCCGCCCCCTGGGCTCTCCTGTTGCTGCCAGTGGTACTGCCACTCTTGCTACAGCCACTCCTGCTACAGCCGCTCCTGCTACAGTCACTCTTGCTACAGCAGCTCCTGCTTCTACCACTCTTGCTACAGCTGCTCCTCCTGCTTCGGCCATTCCTGGTGCTCCCACACCTGCTGCGGGGTCCGTCCAGGCATTGTCGCACCAGTTGTCAGCACGCCATTTGTCGATCAGAGGCAGTGCTGAGCTGGCATCTCTGGGCAGGTCGCTTGCTGCTGTGGCAGCCTCAGCACTTGGGGGTGAGCGAGTAGGGAATCAGGGTTCAGAGGAGTGTGTGCGAGAGGGGAGTGGAATTGTTGATGTGAATGGGCCAGCAGAACAGGAGGGGAATATTGTCAGACAACCAAGACAATCTACACAAGCTATTTCCCCAAGGTCTACAAGGGGTGGTGGTGGTGTACAGGGCTCAGATGTTGGTGAAGTGCCATCACAACCAGACTATGATTTCGATGAACTGTTTGGTACCGAACAGAGCTTCCTTATGTGATTCTCTGATATATAAGCTTTTATACTGAGTTTATGACAGTATAGACCTATGTGTGTTATTAAAGACAGTGAGTGGCCTCTTAATGCTTCGTCACGATTGAGGGCTTATCCCAGCCAATCACACTTCAGGGCTTCGTCTCGTAGAATCGTTGAAATCTATTCGTTCTGTGCAGCTGCCACAACAGCATGGATGTTCGATTGTCTCTCGTCGCGTCGCTAGCATGTCATCAGCGTTTGCGGCCACGCCGCTTCCCGCGCCTGCTGACATGGCCGCTGGGGCCCTCAAACTTTCCCGACCGCGTGTGACTTTGAAACCCGGTTTATCACGCAAGCCTGGCACGGATTGTGGGACACGGCCCACGGGCCAGGCCCACAACTTTGCAGGGGCAGTGTGGCTCTCCATTTTCACCTGCCCTGAAGTGTCGCGGTTCGCCACAAAAACAGGAGATTTTGCTGGTTCTTGAATGGCGAAATTGCAGGTTCGAGAGACACTGCTTCCCCCCCAAGTTGTCGAATCGAAGGCTGCGCAATTGGCACTCCGCAACTTGCCCGCGCCAGTCCCCTGAGCTGAGATCCCTCCCCCGACCACCAACGTCACGTCAGGGACAGGTCACGTCAAATGCACCCGCCACCATTCGCTCCCCGACCTGGACGCGAACGAAACCAAGGGCTTTGCGCGCGCCCCCATTTCCGGCAATATCTTGTGGGGGCAGTACAAGTACAAGCATATCGGTCGGGACGGGTCTCTCGTCATGGTTCATCCAATCCGTGTCGCCGGCGGGACAATAATGCTGTTCCGCTGGGATTTCCGCATGCTGCGCTAGCCTCTCCGCCAATTACCGTGCCCAGCCACGACAACCCCCTGTCGGAACGGAACGGAAGGGAAGCTGGTGCAAGAAGGAAGCTAGTCCCCCATAGCGGGAGGGGGGGAGGAAGGAGGCAGGGAGGGAGCAGCAGCTGTGCCGTGTTTGCCACAGGAAGGAAAGGAAAGTCGGAAACCCAGGGTACACAGGTCGGGACGGGACGGGACGAGACGGGAGAGAGATGCAGGGACAAGAGGAGGAGCACTACTAACCTAAATAACAGTTCCCAAGGTCTACCATTGTCAGTTCTGCTCTTGAAATTCCAGTACCGAATGCTTACACAGGATGGCGAGCACTTCTGAGCTCCTTAGCAGATAGTTAAACGGTGTTAGTGCCTCAAGGTCCCTGAAATCATATAGCTAGGGCATAATTTTTTAGTAGTATCCGCACATGGCTTCAGTTTCGCCCTCGGAATTGCATCTTGCAGTGCTCTCAGGCGACTTAAAGGTGACTCGAAAACTCCTTCGCGACGGATGGGACTCGGCGGGACGCGACGGTTTCGGTCGCACGCCGCTCCAATGGGCCGTGATTCTCGGTCACGAAGACATCACAAAGGCTTTGATTGTCAACACACCGCTTCGTTTCCTCCACTCTTCAGACCGCCATGGCCGCAACGTCCTGCACTACGCCGCCGCGCAAGGCCGAGCAGAGCTCCTCCGCGTGCTGATTCAGCGCGGCGGAAACGTCAATTCTCGGGATTGCCTTCAGAAAACCCCTCTGCACTTCGCCGCTGCAGCCGTCGATCCGTTTGTAGCGGAAATTCTGCTGGAGAAAGGCGCAGATCCGTCCTCCTTAGACGCGAGTGGATTAAGTCCATTGGACTATGCCGTTAGATACGGGAGCGTGGCTTGCGAGAAGCTGCTCCGGAGTACTACGAAGAGTAATAAGGATTCCGTCGACGGAGCGGAGACGAAGAGAAGCGCATCGACCGAGCGCAGCGCGCGACACCCCATGGCCACTCTGGACGCAAATGTCCCGCTTTCCTCGGCAACTCGTCCAATAACGGCTTCAGAACCACCACAGAATCCAGCAGGCACGGTGTCTGCGTCGTCTTACTGTCGCTCCACCTCCTCAGTTCACTCC